ATATATTTTTATTGATTTCAGAGAGAAAGAGAGAGAGAGTGAGAGAGATAGAAACATCAATGATGAGAGAGAATCATTGATCAGCTTGCCTCCTGCACGCTCTACACCGGGGATCAAGCCTGCAACCTGGGCATGTGTAATGCCCGGGAATCGAACCGTGACCTCCTGGTTCATAGGTCAACGCTCAACCACTGAGCCACACCTGGCCGGGACAGTTTCCGGATTCTTGCTGCTAACCCTCCTCTTGCCCTTCCCAGTAAGAGCATCTGCATCTGCTTTGGCAATCTGATTTAAAAAAACACTTACTCCAACATTATTTTTTCCTGTTATTTGTCAAAGCTTCTTCTTATTGAATGTTCGCTGGACCCAGCAACAGCTAATCTGCACTCCCGATGAAGGCCTCACTGTTCAGGGTCTGCCCGCCCGGATCTCGCTGGCCCTTCTCTGAATTCACTCCCCGTTCTGGGTGGGTAACAAAAGGGACGTCATCACCCTGCAGCCGAGGCTCAGAGTTTACACTGCAAAGTGTCACCAGAAGTTTGTGAGGCCCCTCGATTTGTAAAGCTCTTCGTATTCAGTCACCTCGGCAAGGCACACTGCAGAGGAGGGAATGCAGCCGCCACCTAAACCGCATCGAGGGCTCACCCTTGGCTTTGATTTCCTGAGTCCAGCAATAAGCCGCGTCAGTCCCCTGTGGTCAGCTGTTTAGAAAGAAGCAAGGCGATCAGTGATCCAGAGGACCCACGTGCTCACCGAGTTCCGCACCTGTCCAGCCCCCTCGGAAGCTACGGGACAACACCATCATCTCACAAAGCCCTGTGCACACAAGGCAGGGCAGGGGCCCCGGCCCTGCAACCACTGAGCCTGAGAAGAGCTGTAACCCACCGGCTCACCTGCCCAGGCTCACCTCCCCCAGACATCACGGCCCACGTGCACATGTGGTGAGCTCACACCTCACTCTGTGGAGTCATTCAGCCTCCGTGTGTTTCCCTGGGACAAAGGGACATCTATTTCAGCAGCAAGCAAACTCTTTCATGGGAATATAGCCCTGAATGTTAAAAAACAAAGCCAATGAAAAGATTACATTTTGCAACGAATTCTTTTAGGAATAGATCGACTACAGTATATTCTCGATGCACATTCTTCATAAATACCATCTAGTTGTAATGAGCTGAGCTATTTCACCAAATCACCTTCAAACTGAATTCTCGCTCTCTGACTAAAATGCAGCCCAGCCTCTGAGTACCACAGATTCAAGTGGAGTATTGCAAGTCAAGTCTTAAGATCTTATGCTAACTATCATATGGTTACTATGTGGCCTGGAATTCTTAGTACCTTACTCATCAGACCTCATTTAAACCTCACGACAATCCTAATAGGTACTTACTATTTGTGTTTGTGTGTGTGTGTTAATCTTCTCCAGAGTATATTTTTTCCATTGATTTTTAGAGAGAGTGGAAGGGAGGGAGGGAAAGAGAGCAGGACAGAGAGAGAGAAAGAGAGGGAAACATTGATGTGAGAGAGATGCATTGATTGGTTACCTCCGGTGCGTGCCCCAATCTGGGCCGGGGATTGAACCTGCAACCCAGTAACATGCCCTGGACGGGGAATCGAACCCGTGACCCTTTGGTGTGCAGGCCAACACTCTATCAAGCCACACTGGCCAGGGCAGTACTGACTATTATCCTCCCAGTGTACGGAGGAGGAAACTGCAGCCTAGACAGGGTAAGCCACTTGCCCAAAGTCACACCGCTACTAAGGGAGCTGCAACTGGAATCTCAGTCTGGCTCCAGGGCGCGCCTCAGCCCTTCTTCCCAGAATGTGAAGAGAATGGGGACGTGTGATGCATTCACTTTGTGGGAAATGGAAGCTTAATGTTTAATCAGCATACGTTTAAAATCCATTAGCGTCAGTTCAGGGGCACCACAAGCCTGAATTCCAAGTAATGGTGACTCCCCCGTCCCTTCCTTCATTCCTGGCAGTCTGGCTCCTGGGCGCGCCTCAGCCCTTCTTCCCAGAATGTGAAGAGAATGGGGACGTGTGATGCATTCACTTTGTGGGAAATGGAAGTTTAATGTTTAATCAGCATACGTTTAAAATCCATTAGCGTCAGTTCAGGGGCACCACAAGCCTGAATTCCAAGTAATGGTGACTCCCCCGTCCCTTCCTTCATTCCTGACCACCCGTGGGACTTGACCTCGTCACGGCTCCGCTCAAGGTCACAGAGCCCAAGATCCTGATCACAGAGTCCCTGGTGGAAAGGGCCGGGCTTTCTCGCTGCAGGAGGGATTACAGAACTGAGGTTACCCACCCAGGACTATTTCCCCGCCCCCCCTTCTGCTGCTTAAAAGAACAACACCCCACCAGGAAAAACAGGAAGCTGGTTACCAGATACGGCAGAACAACAACCCCACTGTTCCCAGTGACTGGCAAGAAGCACAGTCACTGCTGTGTCCCGGGGCCTCCTGCCTGGAAGGAAACAGCCAGCCCCAGGGTGTTGGGCACGCCTCGGGCAGCCTGGGGTGAGCACTGTGGCTTGTCCTTCTAACCGGCCACCCGGCCGTCGGGGGCAGCCTAGGATCTGGAGGGCAAGGAGTGCCCATGCTTACTGGGCACCCGCTATGCCACTGTTTATTCACGATCCCAGTCCCATACCTGGAAGGTGGGTCATGATTTCCATGGCGTAAAGGAAAACAGTGAGGCTCAGAGAGCTGACTGCTGTGCTCCGCCAGGACCTCCTGGGCGGGGACTGGGAGCTGGCTTTGCCTGCTTTCAAAGCCCTCAATCCGATGCCTGTTTCATCATCCCGTGCTGTACAATTTCTTTCTCAAATGGAACCAAGATATCTTGATTTTTTTTTATGTAGCCAACAAAATAAAACCACCAATGAATCAGTATCAGTTTCTTGAAAGAAAAACACTTTGGCCCTGACTGGTTTGGCTCGGTGGACAGAGCGTCGGCCTGTGGACTGGGGGGTCGCAGGTTCGATTCCGGTCAGGGGCATGTGCCTTGGTTGCGGGCACATCCCCAGTGGGGAGTGTGCAGGAGGCAGCTGGTCGGTGTTTCTCTCCCATCGATGCTTCTGACTCTCTATCTCCCTTCCTCTCTGTAAAAAATCAATAAAATATATTTTAAAAAAAAAAACACTTTGCGCAACACTTCAAAAAAAAACTTAAAGGACAAACAAAATAGTTGCAGAATTATGATGAAGATTAAATATCAATACTGGGTAAAGGCTGCATACAAATGGAAAAGCCCAAAACCATCTGTAACAGTAAAATAAACAGATATACGAATCTCCAACAAACTTGGAAAAATTTCAACCTCATGATTAATCAAAGAAATGCAAAAATAAAATCAACGTTTGTTAGCTACTAAACTGGCCATTAAGAGCTACAGAACACAGTGTGGGTATGAGAGCACACTGCTGCTGGAGGTGTAAGTTGTTACTATCCTTTTGGAAAGCAATTTAGTCATTTGTACCAAATCACAGAAGCTTTACACATTCCTTCACCCAGTAATTCCACTTCCTGAGTCTATCCCAAGGGATTAACTTAAAATATGAAGACGTTCTATGCAGCACGAATACTTTCCTTTCTGCATTACTTCTAAGTGGGGGATAAATGGAAAGCAGCCTAAATGTCATTCTAATAAGTGTGGGCATATTTCATCAATAAAATATTACCCAGCCATTAAAAATGACGGTGACAGAGTCTATGTATCACCATGGAAAAATCCTATTAAATGCAACATGAAGGAAAGAATAACTGGGGTAAGGATGTAACAGCGTGTTTGCTGTAAAGTGTGATTATGTAGACATGTGATACCGCTTTTGCAAAGCCTGGCTTAGTTGGCTGGGCATCGTCCCGGGCATCATCCCGGGCACCGAAAGGTTGCCGGTTTGATTCCCGGTTAGGACACATGCCCAGGTTGCAGACTCGATCTCCTGCAGGGGGCGTGCAGGAGGCAGCCAACTGATGTTCAGTATTGCATTGATGTTTCTTTTTCTCCCTCTCCCTTCCTCTCACTCTAAAAATCAATACAAATATCTTTTAAACAAATTACCCATGACAAGAGATGAAAAGGAAACATACAAAAAAAAATAAAGAGGGTATATACTTCAAAATATTTCCTGCAGGAACCCATGGACACAGACAATAGTGTGGCAAAGGCCTGGGAAGGGGGTGGGAGTGGGAAGGAGGGGGGTTATCGGGGGAGTAAAGGGGGACATGTGTAATACTTTCAACAAAAAAGATAAATTAAAAGAAACATTTTCGCAGGCTCTTCTGATAGGTTTACATGCATTTGCCATCTATCCACTTTCCATCAGGCATTGTGTTTTGTAACAAAAGAGAACCACGTTTGGAATACTCTCGCCTGTTGTGATGGACACTCGCCCACCTGGCGGGCACTGCCAGGTGCTGAGCGTCCAGACTGAGCCTCGAGGGCGAGTGCGGCGCACAGCATCCCCCCTTTCCTGTGGTTTCCAGGCGGCTTTTGTGCTCTGACCCTACAGAGGTCACTTCTGTTCCATTAGCCACTTGTGGTTTAGGGGCGACACTGAAGACTGTGGGGGAGACCACAGCAAACTTTAGGTGAAAGCTCTTTTAGGTTTCTTTTCAAACATAGAAAAGTGTGAGCAGAAGGTCGTATTTACCATAGGCAATAGCTCCTGGCACAGGATGAACACTGTCCGGACAAAAGCCCCGTATGCATGACTTTATTTCCCTGTAGGCTGCTCCCGTTCCCCACAGGCAGACCTACTGTGCTGGAGCCGTGTATCTCTGTTGGCAAGAGTGAGCACAAAATGTGCAAAGGGTTTTCCTGTTTGTTTGTTGTTTAACTGATGGAAGTATCAGTTTGTGCATTTAATGCTGTGCGCTCTCCCAGCTGCCACCCCTTCCCGGCTTTCTCCTGCCTCAACTCCCCCACTCGGCTTGCAGATGAGCGGCATGGGGACTGTATGCTTGTGGCCTGACATAGTATCGACAGTGCCGAGTGAGTATAACTGAAGTCCTTAAAGTCCCTTTATTATTATTTTTTTAATTTTTATTTTTTTTAATCTTTAAATTCTTTATTAGTTAAGGAATTACAAATGTATTATTTTTTTTAAAGAGAAAGTTGCACTTGAGATATGTAGCTTTCAAGAATGTATTTTTCTTGTATGTCAAGAAGTCTGTGATAACTTTTTTTAAAAAATGTTTTTGTTTATTTTTTTTAGAGAGAGAGGAAGGGAGAGGGATAGAGAGATAGAAACATCGACGAGGGAGGAACATCATCAATTGGCTGCTGCCTGCGCGGCCTTTACTGGGGATTGGCTCACAGCCTGCAACCGAGGTACATGCCCTTGACCAGAATCGAACCTGGGACCTTTCAGTCCGCAGGCTGATGCTCTATCCACTGAGCCAAACCGGCTAGGGCGTGTGATAACTTTAATAAAAGTTGTTTAAATAAAAAAAAAAGGAGGCTCTTAATCGCCTCATCCTCACTTAGACCTAAGTTCAGAGCTGCTGCTTTTAGAAGGGCCATATGTGACCACCTAAGACCCTCACGGTCAGGATCCGAAATCCAGGGGTGTCAGAGGCTGCGGGGCCGTTTGATGGCATGATCCCGTCTTCTGGTATCTCGGAGGTCAGGCTTTGATCCTGAAACTGACACCCTGGGAGCCATGTAGGTCTCAGCAAGTGCAC